AGGGCCTGAGGCCAGGCTAGGCCCCTCTGGACCCAGAGCTCCTACCTGCCCTACACACACACACAGGATCAACACGCATCATCAGTGATCAGTGTATGCATACACAGCATGCTCTGCAACAAAACACACATCTAACACAAATAAACCAATGCAACACATGCAACACATGTACAACAAACACACAGACACCCAACACATCCAAACAACATACAATATACACACAAACAAAAACACACATCACCAACCAACCACACACACACATACACCTCCAACAAATACATACACCCAAATAATATCTTCCAAACACATGCAATGCAATACACATCACACATACACACACACACACACACACACACCCAGACATCCAACCAACCAACACAACCTACAGAGGCTGCCCACTCTGTACACACAAGACCAACACCCACCATCCACACACCCTCATAAGTGCACATTGCATTTGTAGAGGCAACTCTACACCCTCCAGGTCACCCCCTCTCCCATCCCCACAGGAGCTCTGCCACCTGGGACCTGCGGACCCTGGCAGACACACACAATCTTGGGGGAGGCGACCCCGGGGTACACATTGATTGGGGGCAGGGAATCCCTGGGAAAGGATGTCCTGAGAGATGCCAGGCAGCGAGGCCCCTAATGACAGTGGTCATTAGTCAACAGAGCCAAATATCAACAGTACTTCTTCAAAATACACTCGTCCAGGCCGAAAACCGACTTCTGCACACGGGCCACGAAGTTTCAATCGCACTGTATGCGCGCGCCCACATGTGGTATTCGTGGAAGAGCCACACTCAAGGGGCCAAAGAGCCGCATGTGGCTTGCGAGCCGCAGTTTGCCAACCAGGGCCCTAGGAGAACAGGCTGCCATGCACAACACAGGACCAGCTCCGAGCTCCGTGGCTGGCTGTGTGGAGAGGAGCAGGCGGGTGTGTGGGAGCCTGGTTCCCCAGTCACTCCCACGATCCAGGCCTGATGCAGACCTTCCACGGGGCGGCAGTGAGAGTCGCCTGAGGGATTGCCGGGAACTTCTGTACAAGAACCCGGGGTGACTTCTGCTCTCCTTCCTCTTCCTGGGGCTTCTCCTCTGCACCCCCACCTGCTCCGTCTTGCAGGCTGCCTCCTGCTGCCTCTGCAGAGAGCCTTGGAGCACCTTCCCAGGAGTCAGAACCGGAGCACTGCTGTGCTTGCAGAACGCAGGCCTGGCCCGAGATCCATTCAGGTCCATTCAGGTCCATTGTCATACGAGCTTAGAATGGTGAAGGCTCCTGTGCGGGGAGTCTGGACCCCTGGTCTTAGGAATCCTGGTATTGGCACTTACTAGCTGCGCAACCTTAGTCAAGTTCCTTAACCTCTCTGAGCCCCACTTCCTTCATATAGAAAGTGTGGAGTCAATCTCTGCATTATAAAACTGCAGGCTGCATTTGCGGGACTTCTGGGGGTGCGGTGGGTTCCATCGCAAAGTCTCCCCCATGCCGGTCCAGTTTTCTGTCTTGCACTCCTGGCACCATTGAGACCCCTGTGGGGAGTCCTGTCCCTTTGTCGCCCCTCAAATGAGGCAGCCCGAGGGTAGCTGGACTCTGGTG